CATATGTAACACATTGAGAATAAAAAAATATTCTCAATGTGTGGCTAAATGTTGTTATTGATGAAAAGATGTACCAATGCATAGCTGCAGTATGTTGTGAGCAGAGCTGATCATATTGGCTAACCCGATTTGATTCAACGAGTCCTCTACAGATAGTCTAGGTCGAATCCCATCTTACAAATACTTTGGATCATTGTGTACTGGTCCAATTCATTGTCTAGAACATCTAATCTGTCAAATTGGTTTTAATTTAGATTGGATTCAATTCTAACTTCGTCCATTGACACCCATATCTTCTGCCAATGGATCATATGTTGGTTAGAATTGACCTAATCCAATATAAATCTATTACAGATGGATAGGATCCAATCTAATAAATGCTTTGGACTCTTTAAGTTTAGATTGACCTAATTCAATATGTCTTTTAGTCTGTCCAATCCGTTCAAGTTTATTTATGGGATCTAACCCAAACTCAGTCCATTGATACCCTTAAGTGTGAGGAGCTCTCTCTAAGGAGTAGATTCAGATTTGCTTTAAGATATTTGTCTTATTCCCATGTCTAACTTATTTCCTATTTTTGTATTGTAATTTTATTTTTATAACTAGCTTGGACCCATGTGATGCACGGGATTTACTAAGTGAAAGTTAAATAATAGAGATGATCATTTACTAAAATATCCCTTATAATTTCATGGATTTACTAAAATCTACCCTACAACTAGCATTTTACTAAAACACCACTTATAATTTTTAATGGATTTAATCAATCTTCCATTAGATGATAGTGGAAAATGACAGTGTTGGCCATAATGTTCATTTAAATAAATTTAATCAAAAGAAAATAAAAATAAAAATACCATTTTTGCCCTTAATAAGACACAGGCAACCACTCTATTGGTTATATTTGGTCATTTTTGTTTTCTATACAAAAAAATGTTAAGGGTATTTTTGGAATAAAAAACCATGGGTCTAATGGAAAAATAAACACTCCTTAATGAAAGGTTGATTAAGTAAATAAGTTGTAAAATATATGAGATATTTTAGTAAAATGAAAACTATATGATAGGTTTAAGTAAATATGTAAAACTATAAGTTGTGTTCTAGTAAATGACTCTAATAGAAACACATAAGAGTATACAACTGTTTTATATTTTCAACTTTTTAAATAATTAATAATTATTCATATTTTATATACTACTTTAATAAATATTTTATAATACAAAATTAGGAATAATTAATTTTAATTATGTTTATTCATCAAACTGATGAAACCAACCAACCCGATCAACTCGACCCGAGTTGGTCGGTTTTCTCGAGTTGGTCGGTTTTCTAGTACTTTAGGTTGGCTTTGGTTAAAAAATTCTAATTCGACCAAGTTGGATCAGTTTCACTTTGGCCATTTGTAAACCGACCAAAATTGAACGACCTAACCATGGATATAATAATAATAATAATAATAATAATAATAATAATAATAATAATAATAATAATAATAATAATAATAATAATAATAATAATAATAATAATAATAATAANTAATAATAATAATAATAATAATAATAATAATAATAATAATAATAATAATAATAATAATAATAATAATAATAATAATAATAATAATAATAATTTTTTAATATGGAAAAGTGGGAAATTTCCCATATTTTCTTAGTCCAAATTCTAGTACTTTAGGTCGGTTTTGGTTCAAAAATTTCCCAATTCGACCAAGTTGGATTAGTTTCACTTTGGCCATTTATAAACCGACCAAAATTGAATTTAGACTCGGAAATATGAGAAATTTCCCACTTTTCTATATTAAAAATTATATTTAAAATATAATATATATTTTAAATATAATTTTTAATATGGAAAAGTGAGAAATTTCTCATATTTCTTAGTCTAAATTCTAGTACTTTAGACTGACTTTGGTTAAAAAATTTCTCAATTCAACCAAGTTGGATAAGTTTTACTTTGGCCATTTGTAAATCGACCAAAATTGAACGACTTAATCATATATATATATATATATTAAATATAATTTTTAATATAGAAAAGTGGGAAATTTCTCATATTTCCGAGTCTAAATTCTAGTACTTTAGACTGGCTTTTGTTAAAAAAATTTTCAATTCGACCAAGTTGGATCAGTTTCACTTTGACCATTTGTAAACCAACCAAAATTGAATGACCTAACCATGGATATATATATATATATATATAATTTTTAAATGTTTTATATCATAAATCTAATTTTTAACTTTATTTTTAATAATTGCACTATAATTTTTAAAATTTAATTTAATTTTTAAGTTTAAATCTTTTGAACCAATTGACCAATCCAAAAAATTGACCCAAACCGATACAACTTGAGTGGGTCGGTTTTCACAAAAGGTCATTCGGTTTCAGTTGACCAACTCCCCAACCTGACCAGGTCAATTTGGTTGGCCAAATAGCCTACGACCAAACTGAACCAACTCATGAACACTCATAATTTTAACTAAATTAATAGTCACGTCTCTAACAAATAACAATAGTTTAATCACCAATAATTATTGAAAATTTATAGCGAAAATACACAATTATTGAAAATATATTGATAATGAAAAAATACAATAAGTACTAAAAATATATTAACTTAGTTAATAAATAGTATAATATCAAAATAGTTTAATATCTAATAAATATTAATCAATAAGTTATAACAAAAATACAATATATATAAATTAAATTTAAAATTTTCAATAATAGTAGTTTAATCTCCAATAGTTATTGAAAGTTTTTTGTTAAATAACAAAACGAAATAAATTTATACATAATCATTGCAAATACATTTATCACAAAAAACAATAAATATTAATTTTAGTATATATAATTATATAATAAATACAAACTAAGAGTTTAAAATTATTATTAATAAATATTAATTTTTTGGAAGTTATTTTCTCAAATTATTACATGATATAAGTAAAATTAGTTATTTACAATATTATGTAAAAATATTAGATTATTATTATTTTCAATATTATGTTATAATTATTTTTTTACTTTTCAGATTTTTTTTTTAAATTTATTACATGATTTCTTTATTTTAACTATTTAAAATCTAGTTATGTTAAATATTTTGTTAATTGAAATACTTATTTATTTAAATACTTAAATAATATGTAAAATATTTAAATTTTAAAATACTAATTATTTATTGAATTTAGTTATCTACAAAGTCACAATTTATACTATTATTACATAATTTCATTATTAATTTTGTAATATATTAAATTATTATTAATTTCAATATTATGTTATAATTATTTTTCTACTTCAAAGAACTTTTTTAAATTTATTACATTATTTCGTTATTTTAACTATTTAAAATCTAGTTATGATAAACATTTAGTTATTTAAATAATATATAAAATATTTAAAATTTTTGTCATTTTAATTTTATTTATTTAAAGCTATTACATATTATTAAATATTTGAAAAACATTTAAATTGATAATCCGAAAAAAAATAATTTAAATTGTTAATACATAATTTCGTGATATATTTTGTAAAAATATAAAATTATTTTTCTGTGTTTTTAATAAATATTTTAAAGTTATTATATAATTTTGTTAGGATATTTAAATATTTCTTAAATTTTTTAATCCAAACTTTCTTAAAATAGATATAGATAAAAAAAGTAGGGGAGGGGATAAATAGGAATTAGAGATAATTTAGGAGAGAAACTCTCTACTAAATTAAAGATAATTTTGAAGATAAATAAGAATTAGAGATAACTTAGAAGATAAATAGGAATTAGAGATAATTTTGGAGAAAGTAGGGGATAGTGGGGGAGGTAATTTAGGAGAATTTCTTGGTTGTTTAAAAAATAACAAGAGAATTTCTTCACTTCCTTATATATATATATATATAGAGAGAGAGAGAGAGAGAGAGAGGGAGATATTATTATGAAAATACCTTTTTTTGTAAAAAATATATGAAAAATATTAGTTTTTAGTAAATAAACCGATAAAGTGATTAACGCCTCCTTCACTTAGTCCCTCTCCCCCCCCCCCCAAAATATATGCCAGCCATGTAGGGTTGTAATCGGATTGGATCCAGCAAAATCCAAATCCGATCTCAGTTATTGTAAACTTGTATAGTTGTATTTGAAGCTAATCCAAAACCCGATTGGATTTGAAGATTTCACTTTGGATTGGAATTGGAATCCTAATGAATTTGGATCTAATCGGATTCTGCTTTGATTTTAAAAAATTACAAAAAAAAATTAATTACTTTTCAACTTTTATATATATATATATAATTATAACATATAAATTCATATATAATATAATATATAAATATATTTTTTATAATTTTAAATATAATTATGTAAAATTTATATATCAAAATCAATAAATATTATAATATAATTGGATTATGATTGTATCAGATTGGGTAGAGTAGAATCTAAACCCAACCAGATTATATAAAGATATCACTGAATCCAAGATAATTGGATTGAAGGACAGATTTTCAAGTATCATTGACAAGCTTAGATCCATGATCCCCTTGCGGCTTAGAATCTCTACTTATATTTATGGATGGTTGGTCCTCCATACCGTCCATATTTATCCTAATTCCTGAGCACCCATAAAAAGAATTCCTTACTCTGCGTTGCATACATAAGGTTTCATACCCTTGTAACAGTGCTAATTTTTAGCCCGACCATAAGGTTTCATACCCTCTCTATTTGTATTGATACTCTTTCCATACTAAGCCTTAAGATTAAAATTTAAAATATTTTTGAAAAATTAATGAATAAATAAAAAACCTACAAAATAACAATAAAAAAAGCTAACACAACGTGAGTATTCTCAAAATATACAAGACTGGTCTATACAACTAAATAATACACGATGGAAAGGAACCAATTACCAAACCAACCAAGCTAGTAACAACTCAATCTTCTATCAAGTCTGATCAATTCAACCATACCAAGGAATCAAGGAAACTGCTTTTCTTTTCTGGCCCATCCATCCATTCCAACTCTTTAATTTGTAAATGGCAAAATTTACTAATTAATTTGATTTTTATTTAGTTGTCAATTACCATAATTTCCATGCTCTCCCCTCTTTTTATTTTACTAAATTTTACATTTGGAGTTTAACCCAATATTCCTAATTCAATTTCCTATATCTTATCCCTACCTCCTCCCTCCAGAGAACAAACATGTATCACAATTGCATCTGCCACGTGGTCGAAACTCTCAACTTTTTAAACTCTTCTCTTCAACTTCGCTATGCCTCGACGCAACTCTCTAGTCTACGTCGCATTCGCATCCTCCTTTCTTCTCCTTTATCCTCACGACTGTTTTGCTATTGTTGTTCTTCTTCTTCTTCAGCCTGCTTCTCCCCAACTAGAATCGAAAGTCCAAAAGCTAGCTAGCTCTTCGATTTTCTCTCTGCTGCCTACCTTTACAATCGAATTCGATTCTATTCCCCACTCCCTAGTATTTGGTCTCTATCCATCTCCACCAATTCTTCAATAAAAGGACGACGTCCTCTTTGTTACTTTCTAGAAAGAAGAAAAGGAAGACGATTGGGAAGAGTAAGAGAGATGGATAGTTTACTATGCGATGAACTTGTTCAAGAAATATTTCAGCGCCTCCCACCGTCGATGTCCTACACCGTTCCGCTTGTCTGCAAGCGCTGGCTCTTCCTCCATCGGACCTCTAAGTCTTCCCTTTCCGTTCGTCTGCCTACCCATCCTTACTCAATCTCTTCCTTCTCTTCTTTGCTCTCTCGTTACCCCCGTCTCTCTTCCCTTACCGTCATCATAGATAACTCCAGTACTCCCCTTTTTTCATCGGATTCTAGTGCTGAAACGGAAGCCGTTCATGGGCCCTCCTTATTCTGGGATCACCGCCTTCTTTCTGTGGCTTCCAATTGTTCTTATCTCCGCCGTCTTCGATTCTTAGCCGGACCCGTCTCACCCTCTTCTCTCGTTTCTCTATCTTCCTCCTGTAAACACCTCGTCTCTCTTAGTATCTCCTCTTTTCGCCCTTTCTCATTCCGTTGGCTCACCTCCTTTCCTTCTCTCAAGGAGCTCTTCGTCGTTGAATCCCATACCGCAAATTCCATTCACTTTCCTACTCTGGAATTCGATTCCGACGACGATGACGATGGAACCCATACCTCTCTGCCAGCGTCTGAATTGCCTTTGGAAAGTCTCTGCCTGACGGGAATCGGTGCAGGCGATCGCCGGATGGGTTGGCTATGGAGAAGATGCACAAAGCTCCGGAGACTGCAATTGCGGAGCTGTGAAGGTACGGTCGACGGCGCCTCTTTTTCTTCCTTCGTTAGGTGCTTGCAAGGTCTCCAAGAGTTGGAACTCAGGACATGTAGGACGATTGCGGATGGGGTCTTGTTACGATTAGCTGAACACGGAAGCTCTCTCAATTCTCTCCTTATATACGATGGAGGTAGCAGGGACGGTCTCCGCCAGTTTATAAGGCGTTGCAGCTCCACCCTGCAGAAGCTTGACCTGCGTTTACCTCTCGACCTCGATAACGACCACCTCTCCGCTGTTGCGGAGAACTTTCTCGGTCTTGTCAGCCTTCGGCTCCAAAGTTGCTGCCTTGTCACAGGTGAAGGACTCAAGACCCTTGGGACGGCCATGAGCGCCGGACTTGAGGAATTGGCGCTTATTAACTGTGACGTGGTTGAAAGAGAACCTGGATTGCTAGTCACCTTGGGCCAGAGCCTAAGAGTGCTCAGGAAGTTAGATTTGTCTCATAACGAGATGTTGCTCGATAAGGAATTTGTTTCCATGCTCGTTTCCTGCAAAAATTTGGTAGATATTAAGCTGAGAGGATGCAAGAATCTCACGGATGTTGCACTGGTTTCCATCTTCAAAAACTGCAAGCTTTTGGAGAGTCTGGACATTTTACACTGTTGTTGGATTGGGGCCAAGGAAGTTGAGTTCTTTGTTCTCAACCACCCAAGATTGAGGCGGCTTGAGGTTGAAGAAAGCAAGCTATCTGGTGGTGCTAAGATGTGGGCATCCCAGAAATTCATCGAATTTGTTGGTTGATTGATGAACCAATGAAGGAAGACAACCAATCAATTTTACGTTAGGTTTTAAATGAAACAGGTACATGCATATATATACATATATATCAATTATAAATTGCTTTTGTTTTAACCTTCGATGTTGTGAAATAGAGCGAGGAATGCTCTCCTTCTCCTTCCTCTGTTAATAATCTTTCATATGTTCGTGATATTCAAATCATAGTCTCAGACTGGCTTCTTCTACTTACTGGAGTAAGAGAAAAAAGGGGGGCGGGGGGGATACACTTGGTCAAAGAACTCTGCAACAACTACAAGTACTCTTAGTACACCTGAAAATTCAGTGCCACGTTTGGCCTATTTTTACAAGGATTCGATGGATGCTTCATCTGGCAAAACTTTGGTAATCGAGCAAATATATATTGTTTGAGGACATTCATTGGTCTGTAGTTCTTCCGAATTCTAAAACCCAATATGCTTTACTAGTTTTCTTTTATTTAAACTACAGTAACATTTTAGAAGATTGAGATGTTAAAATCTCAGTATTAGAACTCGATGAGTTGATCTGAACTCAAATCATTGATCAAGAATCTGTACCTACCTGATTTTTTTTTTTAAAACAATCAGGGTGGAGAAGCTTCTAGCCACAAAGGTCTTTGTTACACCTGTCTCTGTTGTGTATCTTGGTTTTTATTTGACCACAGTGACAGGTGCGGATGCTTATGGTTTTCAGGTTGAATAGAAAGGGCAGGGATGCCGACCACTTGATTTTGGTAGGAGATAGCAAGAATGGAACACGAATTCTCTTCCCTGTATTTTCTGTAGAGAACAAGAAGTCATAAATGTAAAGGTAGCTTCAACCTTCAGACATGACAAGAAATTACCAGTCCCCATGGTTTTGATTGGGTGATGATATTGATTAAGGAGTATATTGTCCAGCTGCTCAATTGGTCTATGAGCCCGGTCGGTCATGACGCTGTTCTAGCCAACACAAACAGACATGAGAAATATTAGCATACGAGGCTTACGAGCCATCATAAACTTTTCTGAGAAATTAAAACGCGGAATGCATTGAAACTTGGATTATATTGGTAGCTGGCTGGCTGGCTCAGGCATCTGTATCAAGTTCATCAAATTATTATATTATTAGCTGCTGCAGCAACTAGCCAAATACCTGTGGCCGTGATTTACCGAGTAAGAAATTATCTATCTATCCAGAAAAAAAGGAGCATAGGAAAAATAAAATTAGTATGGACTCTATTCTCTTCCAGAAAAATAGGCAAGTAATCTGTATTCTGTATAAGAATAAAACCTAGCTGCCACGTGCGACCATCTATCCTGACCAGAATATCCTTATCTTGTTGGGTTGTTCTGGTTGCTTGTACTGTTTGTTACCGGCGCATCTGCTGAAACATGACAAGTTGATAACTCAGCACCGACAACTCTTAACCCCTGTGTCAACTTCTTCTTTGGTGTCCAGGGCAAGGATGAAATTCACTTGTTGGAAATGCTTGGTTTGAAGTAGTTTTAGAACGGTTCTATACCAGCAGGGGAAGGACAAACTTGGCTAGGCAATTAGTGTAACATCAGAAGGGAAGTTAAGTTATGCATGGGTACAAAAAAATGCAAGTAAAAATATAATGTACACAAACTGTTTAAATACATAGCTCAGCAAGAAGGAAGAGCCCGGTAAAAAATGTAAATGTGATGTATACAAACTGTTGAAATACACATCTCAACGAGAAGGAAGAGCCCGCCAATTGTCAGCTAGGTGCATGGCACGGTCACGTGAAGTTGCAGAAAGCTGTTGGAGGATTACATTCTTAACATGAGCTGCAGCAGTTTCACCTGCTCGTGTAGCAAGCTCGAGGTAGACTACTGCTTTCATCATTTCCCCTTCCTGCCCAATTAGGAAAAGATTGTATCAGTGCACATAAACAGAGAAAGAAAAGAGAAATTAATGGTTTAATGTCTATAACTAGTTGTTTCATATAGCAGATGGCTTAGCCAAACGTGGTGTGTTTTTGGATCATTTGTATAGTTACGAGCTTCCTCCTCTGTAATCTTTTGGGGTTCTTCCCCTGTTTTGTACATCTTCTCATGTACCCCTTATTTCTTTAATGAAATCTGGTTAAATTCCTCTCAAGAAAAGGAAAGGTGGTATTTGCATTACATACAGAGAAGAGACTAAGGCCATGCTCGAACTGAGCTTTACTATGGCCACGATCAGCAGCCCGCTTCATCCATTTCCTTGCTTGTTGATGATTGTGCACCAAACCTTCACCAAATGAGTAGCACAATGAAGTGTTGTACATAGCACGCACATACCCACCTTCTGCAGCTCTAAGATACCATTTAGCCTGAACAAATAAGAAACTTCTATCAGTAAAAACATTCTTGGTCGGGATGCATAGTGGTAAAGAAACAAGTATGATTAAATTGTATCTTTAAATTATATCTTGGAATTTGAAGTACCAACAATTGAAACCAGAAGCATTGAGAAAGGGATCTCTTTCAGAAAATGTAGGAAGTAAAATCACTAAAATTGCAGATACAAATAATTTATCAATGTTTTAGGGGACTACTGGGCTAAAGAATTCAACAGCTTTCATGGATATTCTATTGATTCAGAAAACAATAGATGAACTGAGAGGGGCAAAGGTGCATACAGCTTCAGCTAGATTAGACTCCACTCCACGACCTTGATGCAAACAGAGTGCAAGCTGGTATTGAGCACGGACATGGCCAGCAACGGAAGCTTGGTATAACCATTTCATAGCTTCCTTTGGGTTAGAAGGTTCAGCTGCAAACATGACAAAGGTTATGAACACATGAAGTGAGAATGTTGAATGAAGCCTATGAATTTATAGCAAATTACAAACAACTCCCTATGTGCTATTGTGCATCTCATGACAAACAACTCCAATATCATTAGATTGACTGCAGTATGATTAAGAATGTTCATATCACATTCAATTTATTAACAGTTCACTGAGCAGGAAAAGAAAAGCAGTTTAATGCCATATTTGGATTGGGCAGAAGAAAACATGGTAAGGATAGAAAAAGTCTTACTTGGTCTCACGATTAGGTCCCCCTCTCCCATACATACACACACCATTTTCTTTTCCTTTCAAAATAACGGCTTTATTTTTTTATGGCTTTGCTACTCCTTTCCACATGTGTATTATTGGGGAAGGGGGAGGTTGGAGCACTTTATTGAAGTTGCCTCGGCATTTTTTGGCATATAACTGATGCCTCTAGACACAGATATGGGTATGGCATCTGCTGAATTTAGATTTGTGGTGAAGTATGGTGAATACAAGAATAACACCAAGGTATAATCTTGAATAAGTTTGTGCATAGAACTAAAATTCAAGCAAATAAAATAAGAACAAGCAAGATTAGGAGAGAAAGAACAAGTTTTATAGTGAAGCAACACAGGGCCCAGAAAGGGGAGAATAGAGTGACAAGAAAACAAAAGGAAGTTGGAGATGCATACCTCAGAGGCTATTCACAAACTGATCTCAATTTTTTTAATTGTAAACTGATCAGGTAATTTGATTGAAATGATAATAAATGGTGCACAAAGATAGAAAGAAAAATGAGGGGTAAAAGCCCTCGAAAGGAGTATAAAATAAGAGCTAGCTATTGCTACTCTCCCCCAGTATGACAGAATTTGAACCTATTCCAATTCCAATCTATCCTACCTATTTACCCTATTTTCATCCCYGGACCTACTTAGGCTAACTCCTAATCCTATAAACCCATCTAGAGCAAGCTTACCCTACATCAATTTGGTATGAAAATAGTCAATCTTACATCATC